AGTTTTGTATAAAAAGCCCATAGTCTATATCAATAAACGAGAATTCAGACAGAGATTGGGACAGCTACTGTTCTTTAGGTAATAATATTTCTTTATCAAAATAATAAGTAAAGAAAAATATCCAAAGATATATAGGATAAAAAGAAAAGTTTTTGAATTCATCCTTTGCATAGAGGGAGGGGAAAGAAAGACTTATGAATGATTTTGATAAATGGATGGAGGGAAGATAAGTTATTAAGTTTTACCCAGACTGGGATGGAAATAATGTCACTTTGCAAAAAAATCAATGAAAATGTCATAGATAATAAGAACAAAATCTGTCAATCTGAATAGTAACATACATTAAAGATTTAGGAAGTGATGTCCTTGAATTACAGAATGACAGGAGTTATGTCTAGGGGAGACAGATTCTTAGAGTGGCAGGTATTATTGGAGAGCACGGGAATAATTTTCAGGCTCTTTAAAGACAAATTGCCAAAAATGATCTGTGAAAAGCAATTCCACTGAAAGAACCAGATATGAGATTACTCTCACACAGTCACTGTCTAATAGATCACTTTAAGCTGTAAAAAAATATCAGGACATCCAGCCATATAAACTGGATCTGTTTATGCAGGAGACATATGTCATGGGCCCAAAACTATTTTCCCAAGGGAGAAATCATAATGAATTTGACCTGATTCATTCAAAGTCTTCTCCCTAAATCTCTTGTAGGAACAGATGTAGAAGATGAATATCTGAGGTTAAGAGAATGAATGAGAACTGCCCTGCTTCAGGAAGTGTATGAGAGAGGGGGGAGGGGTCGCGGGGCAGCCCAAGACCTAGGCTCCCACTCTACTTTAATCTGATCTCAGGGGGAGATGAATCACTCCTTTGAAAGGGGAACCTCAGGTCACAAGACATGTTTGAAGAAGGAAATGAATCTCCTCAAATACAGAAAAGCAAAATCTACAACTTCTTGGGAGCATAGGGTAGGCAAAGACAATCTGCAATTGATGTAATAATAAAAATAATATTAATAATTGCCTTTTATTTGTGACATAGGAAAGGTAGGTGAACAGTTTTATAGGGATCATTTATATTTGTAAACCAAAAGAAACAAGAAGGAAACAGTTATCTTTTCTGAATATAAAAAGTGTGAGATTTACTCTCTCTTAAAGATCTTAAAACTCCAAGTATGTGTCTAAAGAAGAGGCATCTAAAATAGAAGTCAACAAACATTTTTTGTAAAGGGTCAGATAATAAATATTTTAGAATAAATAAATAAGTATTTTAGGCTTTGTGGGCTATAAGTTCTCTGTTATAACTTCAAAACTCTGTCATTATAGTATGAAGCAGCCATAGGTGATATGCAAATGAATGGGTGAGGCTATGTTTCAATAAAACTTTATTTGTAAGAACAAGCAGTGGGCCAGATTTGGTCCACAGTATGCCTAACCCAATCTAAAACATTGTTCAAGAAGTAACAAATAACACACTTTCACATAAAACATTTTTTCATGTGGTTAATATCAAGACAACAAATAAAAGTATCTGTAAAAAATTTAAAAAAATAATAGTATTTGAAGAGAAGTACTCAAAAATAACAATTAATGGTGATGATGAAGCTAATAAGAAAGCAAGAAAAAAGCATGTCTATTTATTATTCAACAACTGATTATACAGTGCTTCCTAAGTTTCAGGCTCTAGCCCAAATGCTTTATAAATATTAGCTCATTTAATTTCCAAAACACCCATTATCACCATTACTATCTCCATCTTACAGATAAGGAAACTAAGACATAAGAGGCTATCACTTGCCCACCAGCAAAAAGCTAGTAATCATGGGAAGACAAGAAAGTCAAATTGAAAAGACTCTCAAAGGAATATTATCAGAAGATGGAATTAAAATTCTCCTTCCACAGCTAACCAGCCTGACCACATAACCAGCTGGTGTGCATCCCTCTCTAAGCACCTCGTAAAGCTGTGGCAATAATTCTGCCCTCCCTTTTGACTGCAGAGTTCCTGCATCTCTCAAACACAGGAAAGGGGCTCATTGCTTATTTTTGCTTCCACAAAATATTAGAATCAATACTCAGTTATCTAATAAATATATGTGTATATATATATATATATATATATATATATATATATATATATATATATAACCAGTTATGAAACACAAGAAGATACAATTTATTATTTTTTCAGATCTGAAAATCAACATCCAAAATAGGACATCTAGTATTTATACTAGAACTAAAATTCATGAATGACCAATGGAACTATTCTCAATGTTGCAGAATTCAGACAAGCAAAAAACTCGTCTCTTCACTGTCCTGGGCTCTATAATGATTTTTCACATATATGCATAAATCTGACACTAACAACAATTGTTTTGCAGACTAGAAATCTAAAATTTAGAGAACTGAATTCACCTGCATAAGTTCATATTAAAAACCAGTTCCTTGGATTCTTTCCAAGGCTTCATAACAATAAAGTAGTTCAATGTGAGGGAAATGGCACAGTGAGGCCTAAGTAGGATTTATTGTTTTACTTGTGTAAGTATTTTCTTACATGTTTAATAGTTCATTCTGGAGATGCCATTAAGAGCTATAAACACAGATTGTATACTGAATCAATTAGCATATTTTCAATCACAAATAACAGAAAATCCAACACAAACTGGCTTCAATAATAAGGAAATATATTGGTTTTCCTAATTCCAAGCCCAGAAGTAGATTCAGGGTTAGTTTAACCCAGCACCCTGTTCGGTTTTCCCGGGACTCTCTTGGTTCTGTTCCTTAGCCTATTGCAGTTCATCCTCAGGCTGGTGTCAAGATGGTCGCGCACAGACCAAACACAGAAGATGCTACTGTGTTTCTTTCTGTCACTTTCTGGACCATGAGAAACTTTCCCCTAGAATCACCTAGAACCTGTCATCTTGCATCTCTTTAGACTAAAATCTGTCAGCTGCCTATTCCTCAGCCAGCCTTTGAGGTCAGAGGAACACCCTGTGCTAACTGGTTTTGCTGTTATTTAGTTGCCCAGTCATGTCCAACTCTTTGTGACTGCATGGACTGCAGCACTCCAGGCTTCCCTGTCCTTCACCATCTCCCAGAATTAGCTCAAACTCATATCCATAAGTCGGTGATGCCATCCTACCATCTCACCCTCTGTTGCCTCCTTCTCCTCTATTTCTGAACAAATCACTAGCAAGGGGGATTGCATTGTTAAACTTGTCTTGGATAAAGCACAGGTTACTTTGCAGTTGGGATTAATCTTCTTAACTTCATAGTTATAGAACAGAGGGATGAAATGGATCAGGAAAAAGCATTTGTTGCTGTTTTTGGCTGAGCAGCTCTGAACCTCCTTCTTATGTTGGGGACAAGAATCTGGATTTATTTCTCCAGATTATAAATCCTGGTGGAAAGCAGATTCTAATACCCATCATTAAAAGTGAAAAACAGATTTTGTCACTCCTCAGATGCTTTTGTAGCTAGGGGTGGGCAAATGACCTAGATTTAGCCAACTGGACACTTTCCCTTTCCTCAGCCATCCCCAGAGAGTGAATCAGGAGCAAGTGACCCAAGGAAGCAGGGCCAGAATAGAATCTGAATGGCCTGGCTAGCAGGGCTCTTTCATCATGGCTAAATGACCATGGAATTTCTAAGGTCCAAAATCATAAGGAGCCCACTCATGTCTGACAAATCAGAGCAATGGTCTGAGACACTTCAATAGAGATTCTCGAATCCTAGACATGAAGTAGTTTATAGACCCAGAGCCTCTTGAGTGAAGGAACTACTGATGAATAACTACAATTGTAGTTATTCACTGTTGTCATTTTAGTTGCTCAGTCGTGTCAGATTCTTTTGCTACCCCAAGGACTGTAGCCTCTCCAGGCTCCTTTGTCCATGGAATTTCCAAGGCAAGAATACTGGAGTGGATTGCCATTTCCTTCTCCAGGGGATCTTCCCAATCCAGGGATTGAATCTTAGCCTCCTGCATTGACAGGCAGATTCTTTACCTGCCTGTACAGGCCTGTACAGGCCTGTAGCCTGTAGATCTGGGAAGCCCAGATCTACAAGATCATAAATATGTATTGAAAATCCTCATCCCGATCTTCCTCTAAAACAGTTACCATCATTAGTCAGGGTAAATGTGTACTAAAGAAGGGGAAGTACCTAGATCTTCAGAGGATTATCACAAACTGGTTCATTACTAATGCTAATTCCTATGGAAACAGAATGCCACTGTTGTCTACCAGTCAGAGAGAAGATTATGGGCAATAAGGTAATAAATTGATTTGTTTGTCTTCATTAGGCTCAATGAGCCCCCAAATCTGTGTTCATTTCCTCAGCTTATGAAGTTATAACTGGAACTGATACATACAGCAAAGAGCAATTCTCCACATTGGCTCTCTAGTCCATGAAGTAAGGGCTATTATGATAGGAATGGTCAAGTGCAAACTCTCCGTATATAAAATAGCACATCATAAGTGATATCACATCCCTAGAAAGATTTCAGAGATTAAAGTCTGAAAGACCAAAGATGATGATTGCTACCACATTCCGATTTAACTTTCTAGATTGGTCAGTGAAGAAAACCAGGTGGGTCTTAGAGAGTGACAATAGATTATTATAATCTTATTTAATTACATCTACCATCTCAGGAGAAGGAAATGGTAACCCACTCCAGTATTCTTGCCTGGAGAATTCCATGGATGGAAGAGCCTGGTGGGCTACAGTCCACGGGGTCACAAAGAGTCAGACACGACTGAGCAACTTCACTTCACTTCGCTTCACTTCACCATCTCAGCAGGCTTCATTTAACAAAAGCAAATATACAGAGACCCTGGCTGTTGGTATGCATCTACGGATTTGCCAAAATGTGTTTTCTCTATTTCAGCACATAAAGAAAACCAGAAGCAAGTGTTTGCTTGCTTGTTTTACCTGGCAAGGACAATAGTACACTTTTATTATCTTACCTCATTAAGTTACTTCTCTGGTTTTGTGTTACAGTTGGGTCTGCAGGGACCTCAACTGTCCAAAGGACATCAAGTTGAGAGAATCTAGGAAGCTGAAGCAGCAGACACCCAGGATGATTGGATTAGACAATTCACATCAAAGGGTGAGACATACGTCTCAAAAAACTACACTGGATTTACGGCAGTGGATTTGAGGAAGAGGTGGGGGAAAGGGTCTAATAATGGAAGGCATATAGGGCTCTGTCTCCAAAACGAAGAGTAAGATTTTTACCTCACAAGCCCCATCACTAGGAATCAGGTGCCATGTTTGTGGACTTTAGACTTGTACAGTACATTGCCATCTGACTCCATGGGTGACTCAACTCTGTTTGGAGAATGAGATGGTTCAGAGCTGGTACCAGCAACTCTGCCATTTAGCACTTGTGACCCAGCTGATCCAATGAGGCCTGACATGTCTCTGGCCAACTGGGATGCAATAGCGTCTAGGATGAGATGGATGGCACCACTGACTGAATGGACATGAGTTTGAGCAAACTCTAGGAGACAGTGAAGGACAAGGAAGCCCGGCGTGCTGCACTTCATGGGGTTGCAAACAGTCGGACACAACTTAGGGACTGAACAACAACAGAGTCTGTGGCAGGCCCTGATAGAAGAACCAAAATAGACAACCGTATGGATCTAGGAAAAGCCAAGAACTCTGAGCAAGTAACAAACCTTTAGAGAGCTGGCTCCAGGCTTACTATACTGCAAGGCAACATGACACAGTGAGTGAGTGCTTGTCGGGCTAAGGGCTGCCGGAGTTTGAATCTCATCTCTGTCACTCACCAGCTGTGGGGCTGTGGACCACAGCTTATCTTCCTTTTGCCTCAGTTCCCCACCCATTAAGCTGGCTTACCAGTAGGCACTTGTTGAGAGGATTAAATATGCTCACCATGAGAAGTGAGCATGGTATCTAGCACACGTTGAGTGCTCCATAAATATTAGCTATCACATCCAGTATGTTGAACAAGCATGGATCATGCCACAAACAAAACCTTAGTTGTGGGCTTCCCCTCAGTCCTTCAAGTTCTTCTCAGTGGAATTTATCTTCTCATCAAAAAAGCCTAGATGAAATTCTAGGAAGTCCCATAGCTTTTCTACTCATTTCTAGGTAATACACGAGTCATGTTAAGTCACAGTTTCAATGTATTAGTTAGAATGTCAGAAAACTCAACTTGGCAGTGTTAAGCCTTGGCCCTCCCTTGACCTTCTGGCTGGAAGCTTCTGCTCCCCCTCTTCCCCGGCTCACGTCCTCCCCAGATTGCCAGTTGTTGCTGCGCTGCCACTGGGGCAGAGCAGGGGTGGGCAAGGAGGGAACAAGGGGTCTAGACCAGCTCTCATTCGGCTGGCATCTTCATGCTGAGTCTCAGGGCTGGCTCTCTCTTGGGCTCATTTGTGGACTCTTTTTTTTTTAATTTCCCATTTATTTTTATTAGTTGGAGGCTAATTACTTTACAATATTGTAGTGGTTTTTGTCATACATTGACATGAATCAGCCATGGATTTACATGTATTCCCCATCCCCATCCCCCTCCCCACCTCCCTCTCCACCCAATTCCTCTAGGTCTTCCCAGTACATCAGGCCGGAGCACTTGTCTCATGCATCCAGCCTGGGCCATTTGTGGACTCTTTAAAGGTTTTCTTCTGGACCCTTTTCTCCCCTTCCTTTGACCACAAAGGATGTACCTATTCTGTGTGGTCCCTTTTATCATCTTCTTTAATCTCTGGGCAAGCAACACCTGGTCAACTCTGCCTAGGTCTCCAAGTGGCCTGTCCAGTAAGACCCTAAATGAACCTCATCACCACTTTCTGTCCCCCATTCAGTCCTGACTGGTCCTCAGGAAACACTCCGAGTCATTTCCCCTACCCATCCTGGATCCAGGCATCACAGAATTGTTTCTGCCATCAGAAAAGGGCTCACCCTCTAGATTTCTTAGGAGTCAGATCCCTTAGACATGGTTTATACCTGTTTCCAACGTCCATAGAATTCATTTCAATACTCTCCCACCGACCCCTGAAGTCTTTCTCATGAGGCATGAGATTAGAACAGAGGTCAGCAAACTTTTCCTGAAGAGAGCTGGGTAGCATATTTTAGATTTTGTAGGCTCCAGGTCTGTGTCGTAACTACTCAATTCCGCATTGTAGCTTGAAACACAATATATAGACAACACATAACCCAATCAGCATGACTGTGTCCCAGTGAAACTTTACTTATGAAAAGGTGATGCTGAAGCTCCAATACTTTGGCCACCTGATGCAAAGAGCTGACTCATTGGAAAAGACCCCAATGCTGGGAAAGATTGAAGGTGGGAGAAGGGGGAAACAGGATGAGATGGTTGGATGGCATCACTGACTCAATGAACATGAGCTTGCACAAACTCTGGGAGATAGTGAAGGATAGGGAAGCCTGGCATGCTGCAGTCCATAGGATTGCAAAGAGTTGAATATGATTTAGCAATTCAACAACGACAACCAGGTTTGGCCTGCAGGCAAAAGCTTGCCGATCCCTGGGTTAGAGGTAGCATTCCTCCATTCTTCATTTCACTTCCCAAATAGATGGGGTGGAAGCCTGAGAAAGACAGTCACTTTTTAAAAAGTATTTATTTATCCATTCATTTATTTGGCCGTGCCAGGTCTCAGTTGCGACAGACTAGATCTGGCTGAACTTGGGCAGCCTGCATTGGAAGCACAGAGTGTTAGGCACTGGACCACCAGGGAAGTCCCAACAGCCACTTTCTCATTTCCAGTCCTTACACCAAATCCTCTCTCTTTGTACCCTGACCACTTTTATCACCTCAAAGTGGGGAAGAGTGTTTAAGAGTTTAAGAAACACTTTCTCAGACATTTCCCTTGAAAATGTTCACACATGGACTTGCTTCACAATCACTTTGGTAACATCAAACTGGCACCTTAATTGAAAAGGAGGCAGGAAATGTTTCAGATGCATTGAGCTGGAAGTGGCTGCAGACTCCAGCTGACATGTCCAGTAGAGAGCTGAAGGTTGTGCCTTGAAAGTCACAGGATGAACTGGGCAGAGTTCCTTTCTCAAGAAAGGCATAGCTATTCTAACAAATGCTGTCTTGCTTTCTAAAAGAATGTGGCGCACACCCTCAATTTCCTTGTTAACTGGGGTCTGACATCACAGCAACCTTGTGGTGACTTACCGTGAAAAGGATGCCAGCGGGGGGCGGGTGGGGGTGGTGGTAGCTATGGAAGTGCCTAGAACCGGTTTCTTTTAAAATGAATGGCCCTGACAGTTTTGTCTTGAGTTCTTGTGTCTGCTTTCTATGGATTTTTCTGTCTCCTTCCTCACTGTGAGCCCTGTTGGCAGAAGCTGTGTTTACCGTTCTCCAGCAGCCTCCTTCCCTATTTCACTGTTTTTAATGTGCTTGGACTTAAAAGACTCAAGGTATTATAATTGTTGAATAATGGTAAGAGTGAGGGCTGAGTGATTGTCCAGTCGGTGGCAGGTATGATCTTTATATGTGGACAATAAGACATCTATTTCGGCTGTTTGAAGACTTGTGTTTGTTTAGCTGAAACATCCATTGTGGCTGCTTCCAGACATTATCCGCTCACTCGCCCTTCATTTACTTACCGTTTGCTTGAATGCAGGTGCTCAGCCATGTTGCTGATACTTTGCCATTCCACCCCTCAAATGACCTTTTTTTGGATGGGGTTGGAGCCGCTTTTTTATTCTTCCAATTGATTTATGTACATCTGAGTATGCACAGATGTACAGAATTTCATGTAAATGCATATAAATACTCATTTATACAAATATTCTATGTATCTTTAGAACATTTGTGTGTGAGCACTTCCCTCCTCTCCCGCTTCATCCATAGTAGGGCTCCTTTCCCAGCTGTGGTGGAGCATGTGCCAACAGCTGGATATATGTCCTTCCATAGTTCCTGCATGTGTAGTTACACAGCACACACACCCAGTGTCTTTAGATGGCAGTCAATCTTTGTTGTTCATTCAACAGCCATACCTTAGGGCTCTCCCTCACCCTTCTTTTTTTAAAGTTCTTTTTTTTTTAATGAGGACCATTTTTAAGGTCCTTAATGAATCTGTTACAATGTTGCTTGTGTTTTATGTTTTATTTTTTGGCTGCAAGGCATGTGGGATCTTAGCTCCCAACCAGGGACTGAATCCACATTCCCTGCATTGGAAGGTGATATCTTAACCACTGGGCCACCAGGGAAGTCTCTGCACCTCCTTCTTTTCTAAAAATTATTATTTTTTTATTTTTGGTTGTGCTGGGTCTTCATAGCTGTGCATGAGCTCTTCCTTCATCCACTTTCCTTTCCTCATAGCTCATTCCACTATTTTGGTGCCAACCACATAAAGAGCTTGGAGATAGAGGCTGACACAAAAAGGAACCCGGTGGGTCCCTTGGGGACAGAGGAGGATGTCCACATGGAATTTTCTAGTGGGTAGCTGGTAATACAGTTGCCAACCAGGGGAGATTTCAGATCTGTAAGTGGGAATGGACAGTGATCACCGAGATGTCAGGTGAAATCTCAAGAAGGGGAGGACGCTGGCCAGAGAAGGGAAGCAGACCAAGAAGAAAGGAAGAGTTTTGTACAGTATTGTTAGTTTATACTTGCTCCGGAAAGCATACAGGCTAAAGCATTAGAAACAATGCTGTTTCCTCTTGAACTCTTTTATCTATGAACGTTTTTCTGGGCTCTTCAGGAGTGAGCTGCTTTCTATTTTCCACCCCTACAGACTGTAGCCAGCATTCAAGACAATGTGTTGACATGTGAAGGGCACAGAATTAACTGGAATATTACTTTCTGAACGTCATCTTTTCTTTCCTCTGAGTTGATTTCCTCTACTCTTTTTAAAAACAAGTTTGTTTGGAATGGCTTTTAAGAACTATTTCCACACCCACATTATGAACATGAATCTAAGTCAATGTTCTTTGAGCGAAGCAAAGTCTGCAGGTGGGAAAAATGTCTTGCTGACTTCTGTTGCATGTATTTGATTCACCAGCCATCTTTTTAATAGGCTGCATTCCTACTGCTTCAAGGTCTGCTCACAAAGGATGGTCCTTGTGTATTTTTGTTATTTGCCCAAAATTTCCTATTGGATGATTTGATTTGTGTGCCTGGAGAGAGAGAGATGGAAGTCTGGCAGTAGCTCTGCAAATGGCTGCCAGGCTTCCCTAGTGGCTGAGATGGTAAGGAATCTGCCTGCCATGCAGGAGACCCAGGTTTGATCCCTGGGTTGGGAAGATTCCCTGGAGAAGGGCATGGCAACCCACTCCAGTATTCTTGCCTGGAAAATTTCATGGACTGAGGAGCCTGGCAGGCTACAGTCCATGGTATCACAGAGTCGGACACGACTGAGCAACTAACACTTTCACTTCCTATTGGAGGATTTGATGTGTATGCCTGGAGAGACAGAGATGGAAGTCCAGCAGTGGCTCTGCAAATGGTTGCCAGATGTCCTGAAGCAAACAGAGGTGCTGCCATCTTCTGAATTGAAAATTTGTAGTAAATGCTGCCAAGGCACCCAAAGCCTAGCTGATAACACATATTCCCTAAACAACTTGTCTAAAAGACCTCCCAGACACTAAACACAAAAACCAAACCCTATTCAGAACAGCACCCCCCACTTCTAAATTATCTACGTCACACAGAAGGACGTGTGCTCAGTCTCATCCGACTCTTTGCAACCCCATGGACTGTACCCTGCCAGGCTCCTTTGTCCATGGAATTCTCCAGGCAAGAATACTGGAGTGGGTTGCCATTTTCTTCTCCAAGAAATCTTCCTGACCCAGGGATCGAATCACATCTCTTGCTGTCTGCGCCACTTAAAAAGTCCTCAAACTTAAGGATGGTGCTGGGTGCTCAGTTGTGTCTGACTCTTCAACCCGATGGATTATAGCCCACCAGGCTCCTCTGTCTATGGGATTCTCCAGGCAAGAATACTGGAGTGGGTGGCCATTCCCTTCACCAGGGGACCTTCCCAATCCAGGGATCGGACTCGTGTCTCTTGAGTCTCCTGCATTGGCACGTGCATTCTTTACCACTGCGCCACCTGGGATAGCTAGTGGAAAGTTGCCATAAAACATAAGGATATCACATGTCAAATCTTGTTCCTTGTACACTTAAATCTCAATAGAATGGTGCACAGAAAATGTTTTCCTCTGGGCCATCATTCCCTCACTTCTCAAGCGGACTTCCCTGATGGTCCAGTGGCTAAGACTCCAGACTCTAAATATGATGCCTGCGTTTGATCCTTGGTCCGGGAACTAGATTCCATATGCCGAATCTTAAGATCCAGCACAGTCAAATAAAGAAATATTTTTTAAAAATAACACTGAGTCTCAGATGCAAAATACCTGAAGCTGAAGCTACCACCTTCCCCCTAGCTCAAGACTTCAAACTTCCTTAGCCAAATCCACTTCCCTGAATCACAGGAGTAAAGAAGACTGCAGGTATGAATTGGGGGAAAAGGAACTCCATTAGACTTTGTAGATCCCTTTTTAAATTCTGCTGTTGTTCACAGAAAGAGGGAAAGGAGAGGCAAGGGCACAACAGACCTTTTTTTTTTTTTTCTTTTTCCTTTTCAGATAATAGTAATATAAGGTAAGACGTGCTGGGGTCACGGAAGCATATGGTGGGAGATGTTGAGTCTGGCTGGGAGGAGAAGAGGGAAGCTGTTCAGCACAGTGCCTGACACAAAGTAGGCATCTGAGAAGTGACTGATAGCTGAAAGGAAGTATCATCCGAACAGGCTTCCCTGGTGGCTCACATAGTAGAGAATCGCCTGCCAGGGCAGGAGACCTGGGTTCGACCCCTGGGTTGGGAAGGTTCCCCTAAGGGGAATGGCAACCCACTCCAGTATTCTTGCCTGGAGAATTCCATGGACAGAGAAGCCTGGCAGGCTACAGTTCACAGGGTTGCGAAGAGTCAGACATGACTGAGTAACACACACATACACAATGTCTGAACATCAACCAGATGCTAAATCGGCCTGCCTACACAAGAAGCAGGGAGGGATTTTACATAAGCACAAAGGTGGATCCAGGGCAGTGTCCAGGGAATGACCAAACTCAGGAGGGCCCCTGGCCATAGGCTGGAAACATGGTGTAGGAGTCTTGGACAGGCTTTGGTAGACAATGGATATCCAGAAGAGCCAAGAAGAAGATCTTCTAAGAACTGTATTTTCTAATACAATGGCCCTATGGATAACTAGTCCTACAGAAGCCAAATGGGTTTAAAAAACATAATGGTAGTTCAACGGAGAGATAAAAAAGGGAGTGACATGAAGTAGAGGCCAGATGGGCCCTGAAAGAATATCCTGCTTGTTCCTTCAACAAAATTAAGCGTGCACTTCTCACATCCTAAAAGAAAGAAGCAGTCTTCCTTCATTCTGCAGCTCTTCCCTGGGGCCCTCACAAGCTTGCCTTCATAGTCAAGCCTGTAAAACACCTCCTGCTGCCTTCCGCTGAGTGCACTCCCGCCCACATTCCTGCTGAGGTCCCCGTTGCTCTCAGGTACTTGCCAATCTTTACCTTGCTGACTTCCAACTCCAGCATCAGAGGAGGCTGGCCTCTCCTGCAGTATTCCTTCTCGGCCTTTTCTCCCTCACACAGCTCAGCTCCCAGCCTCCTTTCCCCTTGTCTGGTTCAGTGTGCTGTCAGTTTCAGCTCCTCCCATCACCATGCGCACTAATGACTCCCAGATCTCCGCCTCCTCTCAGCATCTCTCCTGACTCCACTGTTTACCCCACTGCCTCTTAGACATCTTCATTTATTTGCCCCAAGTGGCAGCTCAAACTCCATAGGCCCCAGAAGGAAATCATCTGGCCTTGGGCACAGTAGTTAACTGAGCTTCACTGCCTCAACTCTAAAACAGGGGATTACCTATAGTCACATCATACAGAAGCCCATTAAGCAGATTAAATGAAATAACACAGACTAGCATGTCAGATAGTGCTTCCCAGGTCGTGCTAGAGGTTAAGAACCCACCTGCCAATGCAGGATACATAAGTGATGCAGGTTCAATCCTTGGGTCAGGAAGATCCCTTGGAATAGGAAATGGCAATGCACTCCAGTATTCTTGCCTGGAGAATCCCATGGACAGAGGACTCTAGTGGGCTACAGTCCATAGGGTCACAAGCAGTTGGAAACAACTGAAGTGACTTAGCACACACACTCCTTCTAATATATCACACAATACCTGGGATGGGAAGATCCCCTCGAGGAGGGTATGGAAACCCACTCCAGTGTTCCTGTCTGGAGAATCCCATGGACAGAAGAGCCTGGTGGGCTACGGTCCGTAGGGCCACAAACAGTAGAACAAGACTGAATCGACTTAGCAAGCAGGTGCACACACACACAAAAGAAAAACAATAAAGACTAGAAAGGAAAAAAAAGAATCCACCTTCCAATGCAGGGGACACGGGTTCAATCCCTGGCTGGGAACTACGGTCCCACATGCACAACTAAGCCAACATGCTTGAATGAAGACCCCACATGCCAATAATTAAATTAAATATATATATATATATACAATAAATTTAAAAATAAACCCGTGCACTTCAATGAGCCAGAACCCAGAGCATCCTCGATGTCTCCCTCTTCCTTAACGTCAGTTGTTCTGTCCCAGCCCATCCATTCCCTCTTCATAAGGTATCTGACCTTGTCTCTCCTCTACTCCTTGCCTTAAACTCTCAGCATCCCCTGGGGCTAGGGCTATTCTTCCCCTGACCCCACTCTCCTACTCTACACAGCAGTCTTGAAAGATCACACTGGACACCATCCTCCTTTTAAAAACCTTTCAATGGCGCCCTTGGGGACGAAACCCAGACTCCTTGGAAGGGCACAGACTGCTCGGGGCCTGGTCACAGTCCTCAGCACTCTCTGAACTCCAGCTGGTTCTCCTTGAGTTAACGCCTCCGTGCTCAGCAAGCTCAGTGAGGCCAGGGTGCCTTCTTCAACCACTCTGGCCGCTTTTTCCAGAAACAGGAAGATGACACTTCCTCTAAGAAGCCTTCCTGGACTTCCAGTCAGACAAGTATCTTTGTTACCCAGGGTCCCTGCCCTAACACTTACCATGCCTTCGTTATTACCTGTTCATTTGCCTGTCCTCTCCCACTAAAACGAGCTGTCTGCGGAAAGAGAAATTATCCTTTAATTTCCATATTCCCAAAACCCAGCACAGCGCCCACTGACAGTAAGGTTGCGAGGGGAGTGAATCAGAACAGTGTGGCCACCGAAAAGGAAACCGCGGTTGTAAGCGAATCCTCTCCTCCCGCGGCCGGCGGTACAGGGCTTCCTTTAGGCCTGCGTGGACGTCCAGGGCCTGCATGTCCTTCTCGGGGCTTCAGCTTGAGCAGATTTAACCCTCACCATCAGGGCAGGCAGGGGACGGCATTGGCAATGGCTGCGCGGGGAGCTTGCAAATGCACGCCCCGCGGGCTGAGGTAAAAAAAAAAAAAAAAAATCCTGAGCCATTTGTTCCAAGCGGCGGAGGGTAAGCGGTTCCGAGTCCCCCGACGGGTGCAGGCCCTGCCTGGGCAGGATGGCACACAAAAACGCACCGGGCAGCGCCGCGTCCGGCAGGGGCGCGCGTGTCCGCGGGCCTTCTCCGTGTCAGCTTCCCGCCCCTGGATTTCCCCGCACTCTCCAGCGCCCCTCGCGGGGACCCGGTTGTACGTGCCTGGCGGTCTCCCCGGCCTGAGGCACCAGCAGGCGGGAAAGAGCTCGGCGTCCCGGCGTCACGCGCCAGCGGCTGGGCGGGCGGCGCGCGCACGCGCGCTGGGCGGGGCGGGGCGGGGCGGGGCGGGGCGGTCGCAGGGGGCGTGGTGAGCGTGGGCGGGGCGGGGCGGGCCGGGAGCCGGGCACAGGAAGCGCTGGGAGGCCCGAGCCGTCCCAGTGTGCCCCGCGCGGCGTGGACTCGGGTCGCTGCCGCCATCCCGCTGGCGAGAGGCAGAGGAGAGGCCCGCCCGCTTGCCGGTCGGGCCAGTGTGGGCCAGTGCGTGAGGGCGCGGGGGGCCGTGTCAGCGAGACGCAAAGCGCAGCCGCCGCCACCGAACGGACATGTTGGAGCCCAGCGCCGCCGCCTCTTTTTCCTCATCCTCCGAACGGGACTGAGAGGGGGCCCGCCACCCCTCTGCCTCCTCAGCCGCCTGCCCCACCGCCTCGGCCGCAGCCTCTTCCTGCCCGGCCTCCGGCTCCGCCGCTCGTCGCCTCCACCGGCTCCTCAAGGCCCTGCCGGTTCCCCGGCTCCTCTCCGCCGCGGCGCGAGGTCTTATGTGACCGGCGGGCCCGGAGCAGCCGCCGCCGCCGCAGCGCGAACATGGACGCCGTCAACGCCTTCAACCAAGAGGTGAGGGGTGCCCGGGACAAGGGAGTGCCGGGGGCCTGCCAGGGGGAGCCTGGCCGTGGTTTCTCCCGCCACCTGAGGTTTAAAGCTTAGGTCGGGGTGGGGACGCTTCCTGCCCCGGTTCCGGAGCGGCGGGCCTGCGCGGAGCGGGCCTATGTGGCCCGGGGAGGTCGCGGCGGCCCGGGCGCCGACCCCACACCCCTCCCCCACGGCCCACCCCCGGGCGGCGACCTCAGGCTGCCCCCTCTCGCCCCCTTCCGGCCTCGTCCAGCCCGGCGACGGCCTCTGGTGCCTTTAACTTCGCCCCCCACCCCACCCCACCCCCCACCCTTTTCAGGTCTGGGCGCTCTCGTCCTCTGCTCCCGTTATTGGCTTCGCGGTGCCGGGAGCCCGCAAGGGGCTAAGAAAGAAGCGCGGGCTGGGTGGGGGAGTGGGGGAGCCGGGAGCATCTGCCGGTCGCGGGGCCGGCAGAGCAGTGGCCTGGGCTTCTCCTGTTGCTCGGGCTGCGCGGCGCGCCGGCGGCTGGACTCTGATCTCGGGTCGGGGAGGAGCTGGCGAGGGTGTTCATCCCTCCTCCCTTCGGGATTCCTACACTTGGGAAATGGAGTTAATAGACGGGGCTCTTTACCCTCTCGAGTCGTGAACTCAACCCTGTTAACGGGCTCCGTGGCCCCAACGTGACACCTAAAAAGTTGAATGGGAGAGGACAGCATTTGCTCCGCCTTAAACCGCTAGAAAGCCGGCTTTGGCCTCCAGTCCCCCCACCCTCTCACCCTCCTCGCGGTTAGTTAATCCTTGGCTCCCTTCTTTGAGAACATTTACATGTGAAAAACCTCCCCAAACCGGGAACAAAGCTGCCTCCCGCCCTAAAGCTCTCTGGTTTTATCTCAAAACCTTCCAGGTGCTGTTTTTGAAGCGTCGAGTCCACAGATTCTATTTTTCAGAATCCATTTCAAGGGGAGGGGTCTTGATCATTGATTTAAAGCGTACCCACAAAATGGAAACAATTGGCATATGTTGAGTTGGATTATCTTCCTTTTCCAAATACCGCACATCAACCCAACACTGAAAAAAACAGATGTAGCAGTGCTAGATGTCTGGGACCACGTTGATGACTTGGTGCACCCTGTATAACGTGATTTTGTAGTTTCACTTGTAACAATTAGGCTGCAGTAACTTTCACTTTGTAGTGCCTCCAGTAACACTGAAGTTAGGACCGTTCATTCCCTTGTCAGTTATCCTAAAAATGATTTGTCTTTAACTGATGGATGCAGAAAGTGAGACAGTGTCTTTTAAAGTTCAGATTGCCTGTTTTCAAAATGATGAAATAGTATTTCCTGATTTTTTTTTTATGGCTAGGGAGTTTGTGATAATGCCCCAAAGATTTCAGGATTGGAAGTTGACTTTGTTTCCTGAAGGCAAAATATACTGGAATGTTGGCTTCATGAGGGCGGAGAGTTTCTGTTCTTTGCTTCCTCATAGCACATGCTTGGAAAAAACTTGTTGAATGAATGAGCACTTATACAAATGACACAATTTTTTAAAAGATAGGTACATTTCTTTCTCAAGATGAAAACTTTCTGGATGTTTTCAATAAACAAAGAGGAGAGGTTTTAGCATATTCTTAGGACCAGAAGTATTTAATGCTGATTGAGGCATTATGGACATTAAGCACGTTATTAAGTAAAGTGTCTTACGTTAATTCTGGGGAAATGTGGCCAGTAGTTTTTACTTTGAAAACCAAATTAGGAATGATAGTGTCCTCTTGAAAAATGAAAATGACATTTTAACCTTTTAAAATGTACAAAGTGAGAATTTTCCTATCATCGATACATTTTCCTCTCTAAATTTTTATTTCCGTTCCTAGTGTTTATTAACTGCATTATGTTAGGTGTATGTTACCAATTCCAGCTCCTTTCTGCCAAACTTTCTTCCCCAAAAACTTTCTTCTGGAGAAATTAGTCTGACTTGAAAATCCATTTCCTTGTCCCTGCTTGATGTAGTGCTTCTCAGTTAATTCTCCCCATTCATAAAATGTTAGTGATTAGTTTCTTGCAACCTTAAATCTCCCAAATCTTCATTTCACAAATATTTGAGAGCTTGCCTAGCTGTAAAGCTGTGTCCTGATTAGGATGGCACTGCTACTGAGGATCTCTGCCCGGTAGGAGCCTAAACTAATAGAGGACACAAAACTTAGACAAGTAACTTTAATGTGTGCTGGAACAATTTCCTTTGGGGTCCTTTTAAAGTACTGTGGGCTGGCTGTGGGGCATTAGACTTGGGAGAAGAGAGTGTCAGTCTCAGAATTTCCGAAGGTGTAGGAAAAGTAATTTAAAGGCAACATTGGTGAGAAACAAGGAACAGTAGTTTGACTCCTGAGGCTACTGAAAGGGTGATTAAGGTAGTTTGAGGCCTGACAAGTTTCAAGTCTGTCTAATGTGTTTGAATTTCTTTTTCTTTTTTTCCCAGTCTGTGGATAAATTGAAGGTTTTAGGTAGTGGAGTAATATAGTCAAAATACTGCTTGATCTGTAGTATGTATTATAGAAGGCAAAGGTTTGGGGAAACATGGCGGGTTGGGGACTGAGGTGGGAGAAGAAAGTGGAATCTGAATTTGGCATATCTATAAAGGGAATAGAGAGGAGGGTAAGGATGTGGACCCGAAGAATCCGTGGATTTGACATCTGGTAGATTTATAAGCACCTTTTGCCCCGGACATCTAAGCTCTGGGAGAGGGGTGACACATCAAGCAGTCATCAAAAGTATATTTAGTGGAGGGGGAAATATGTTTGATTTTGAACAGTTTAAGTTTGAGTGAAACAGTCATGTGGAAATTTTTGGCCAGCAGTTGATCATATTGGACTCAAACTTGGAAGCAACCAAGAGTTAGAGGAGGACATCAGAGAGTCACTCTCAGATTGCCCTAGAGAAAATTGAGCGGGGGAGACAAAATGAAATAGTAATAAGCATCTATAGCATGTGAAGTGTTTTGTATATACATATCGAAGTTAATACTCCTTCAACCTTGCGTAGACATCCATTTATGGATGAGGAAGCTGATTTTCGATTTCAAAGAAATCAAATAGTAATTCACCCAGGGGCATACTACTAGTTCATGGCAGAGCTGAGGTTTGAATACAGATGGTCCCATCTTAATTACTGCCTGAAGATAATATTTTACATAACACCAAGGGAATGGTCATAGGTTAAGTAAGACAAAGGCCACAGAATTTTTTGAGCATATGGGATCTGTAGTTTAAGATTGAATGGTGATGGGAGAGATAAAAGGTAGCAAATATAAAGTAGTTGGGTGTTTTCGGATTTATTGTTGTTTTAGAAGTTTGGTTGTAAGATGTTCTGGGGAAAAGTCTCTTCAAGGATGAAGGGAAGAAAGAGCAATTGACAGTGTAGTAGACACTGATGCTAACCCTTTGATATGTTTCTGTATACAGTGTGTATATAAGGTCTTAACCTAAGTAAGTGGTGGTCAAGCCCTAGTCTTTATTAGATGGGCGTAGATGCTAGAGCATGTTGAGGGAGGGGATGTGCAAAAAGCACAGTTAAGTGGCTAGAGGGGTTAACTTAGAGCAAAACTGTGGATGAAAGGAAGGGGATAGATCGGAAGCACAGGTAAAGGTATGTATCTGTGATACAGAAAAACAGGAACATAAAGATAAGGTTAAAGACCTTTTGAGAGAACTTTCATGGCAAGACACTATTAATGTAAAGAATGGAAAGATGAGTTTAAAAATCAGTGATCACTTAATGTGTTCTACTGTATTTATATACTCCTTATTGTGAAGGTTCGTTACATGGATAAAGATTATAGATTGGAATTTTTAAATCCATTGATTGCATTTTTAACCTTTAATCAGTCTTCTCTAAATCCAAAAGAATAACTCTTCCCTCATCCTTACTTTTCTTTTTGCAGCATCTGTGATTTTAAGATCTTAAAGTACAAAAAAAGTGCAGAGGATATAACAAAAATTGACAGTTGTTATTAGGTGTTTTTAATTTAAAAATAAAATATTATTATGAAGTCTTCCTTTCCTCCCTTTCCCACCCCTCTACACCCCCACCCCCACCAACCCCCCAGTCAGAAGCAATCAGTTAATGAATTCAGTATCAATCTTTGTGGTCCCTAAACTGTGTGTGTGTGTAAAATCTGTTTTGATACATATTTTCCAATGTTTTGTGTATAAAAATTATTGATGCTGTATGTTAAGAACTGTATAGTTCGTTCTGTTGTGTAGTATTCTATCATTTGAATAAACCGAATTTTATCTGGTTCCCCAGTTGATGAATGTTTGTTTCTCATTTGTTACTGATAGACACTGCAATCAATGAACTTTCTCAGACATGTCTCTGTGTAAGAGTTTCTCTTGGACAGCTGTTCTCAGACTTTTGGTTTTGACTCCTTCAAGCTCTAAAAGTTAAGGACCACAGAGATTTTTTTGTATCTATGGGTTATATCTTGATATTTATTGTATGAGAAATTCAAACCAAGAAACAGATTTAATAAAAATAATAAACCTGTTACATATTATCATAAATAACATTTCTAATGAAAAATAATATTTCCAAGACAAAAAAACCTAGTGAGAAGAATGACATGGTTTTATCTGTTTGCAGATCTCATTTAAACTTAGGTTTAATAAAATTTGAATTCTTGTATATACTTCATTCAGTTTCCAGCTGTTACACAAGTCAGGTAGCCTTTGGAAAACTCCACTGTATGCTTGTGTGATTAAGGATAAGGAATGTCTTGGCATTAATATGAAAACAGTTTTTACCTCACAGACCACTGAAAGGAAGTCAGACACCCCTGCCCAGACCCCTCCATCCTAGAGTTACTTTTTAAGAACTACAACATAACGATGGTATGCGTATAATGATACTTACTTGTGTTTATCTTTTTTTTTTTTTTTTTAATATTTGGCTGCTTCTGGTGTTAGTGACATATGGGATCTTTTAGTTTCAGCATGTGAATTCTTGGTTGCATTG